GGGGGGGCTAGCCGAGGCTGGGGGTGCCGGTGCATTTGGGTTTGGTTTGGAAGGGGGAAAGGTGGCAAATCTGTGCTTGCCGCTTGTAAGTTCTCTCTCCTAGAAAGCTTGACCCATAAGGGTCAAGCCCTGCTGGTTGACATGGGAAGCTGGCCGTGAGAGCAGCAGGGTTTCCCCTAGCTGAGGTTGGGCTGGCTGTTCTGGCAGCCCCAAGCAGAAGACAGTTTCCTTGAGACCCTCACACAGGCGCCAGCACGGAGATTTCATAGCGGTGGTAGCAAGAAAACAGGATAAAGCCCTATATGCCAGTGTCCCATAGGCCCCAGAGCCAGGACTTTGCAGGCAGGAATGGTCCTGCCTGCTCCCACTGTGTGTTCCCCACCTCTTTCTTCTACTGGCACCAGCTTTCATGAGGCTGCGGAGTGAATCAGATCAGCAACCTGACAGAGGTCAAAATGAGCTGGTTTGTTTTGCCAGGTTAGTTTTAGTCTGGATCACATCCACATCACCTCACAAATGTTACTACTGGTAAGAGGGAGGCTGGTGCAGATGTGGGCAAGAGCAGCTGGGGAAGAGTGAGGCTGCTCTTTACAGCAGCAGTGCTGTCTTAAAGGGCTTGGGGAACTATAATATTCTACTCCCCTCTTTCCCAGCATATTTATTGGGATGTCAGCTTCTCAAGAGAGCAGTAGCAGCTGCTTTAATGGTCCTGAAACTCCACAGTAGTCCTTAGAATTCTTTCATATGTTCTTAAATGTCAGATCTCATGGGGCCAATGGAATCACCTACTTGGCCTTCCTTCTTTACAGGCATCCCAGATTCCTGTATGTACAGTTAGGGTTTTTTGAGATGTTCTGACTCACTGCAGCTCTCTCCCAAAATAACTTGAACTGTATCTGACAATGCGTTTAGTGAACAAGTTGCTCAGAAATTGTGTTGGATGTTATACACAGGAAACTGAAGATCTCTGTCAGCGATGTGCTACATTTCTTTTGGTTCCTGTGCCCATAGCTAGTCTAGGGAGGAAGGTTAAAGCTAGCTCTGTTTCTTTCTATTTGCTTAGCTGTCCTGCATGTATTAGGCTCCAAGCAATATTAAACAATGTTTTTAACAGCCTTTTTTTTTTTTTTTTTTTTTGGTGAGAGGGCAATAGGGGAGAATGCATACATGTTTCTGAGGCCTCATCACCATTAATAAGCTAGAGTTGTTGAAAGCAATTCAGCTCGAGAATCCCTACGCTACTCTATGTAACTACAGAGAAAAGACTCTGTCCGTAGCAGAGGAGTCTCAGTGTTGTGCAGTAGTCAATATACCTTAGTGAGTGTTTGTTCTCCCTATCTAACTCAAGAGCTGTATCTAATAATTGCACCGATTATACCAGTTCCTGATGTCTTACCTAATGATGCAGAGGAGGATTTCAGCACATTTCAAGGGCAGAAAATTAATGTCTCAGGTGAGACTCTTCTGCCTCACTCTGTTATTTCATTCTCAGTGTAGCAGCTAAGTCCTTCCTATGTCAGTCCATTGAGTTTCAAATTCAGCTCTAAAGGAATTTCCTCAGAGCACTGGCAACTTACTCCCCCTTACTTACACAGTCTTTATGGTTCTGCTCAGTGGGGAGCTCCGTGACTGCCTGTGTCTTACCTTAGTCAAAATGAATCTTCCTTGTAGAATTGTTCCTGGGCAAGCATTTTTATTTAACCAGGGACAACAGGAGGTCCCACAGGCAGGGCAGCTAAGTTCCCATCTAACTGCTGATGTTTTTTCATCCAGGGCCATTAACAATGGTGATAGGAATGCTCGCAACTAGGTGACTGAACAGGGAAGAAGAACCCCAAAGGAAGATGGTAATCCATTTTGAAGGGACCTTGTGTTTCAGCCTCAACCCTGTCATCTTTCTACTTAAAGGCCAGGCAGCTGGCTGAAGTCATTGCAGTCAGCTAGAGGGAGCAGTTATTAGAGGGAGGAGATAAGGGGCCACAAAACATGGGCTGAGGGAAAGCATTTTAGGGGAGTTAATTGAAGGAGAATTGGAAAAGAACGGGAGAGAGAAACTTGCTCTCCTGGTTGGGAAACAGCAGTAATGGGGCTGGATGGATGTGTATACTCAGGAATAATACAGGACGCAAATCAGACACGAGTGCAGAGAGAAAGGGATGAGTACAGAATCTGAATTTGGAGCACAGCAGAGATAAAGAAGGGAGAGTGTGAGAAACTGCAGAATGCTGCAAATATTTGTCATTTTTTAAGTACGACCAAGAAAGGATATTGGACTGCTATGTGATAGAGAAGCAGGTTGTGCAGAAAGCTAGTAAAAGCAGAATGGAAATAGGACTCTGCAGTGTCTACCAACAATGTCCCCTCCTTGGACATTGCTGGTGGGAAACTGGTGGTGGGAAAAGTCTGGTGACTGCAGGAGTGGTTGCTTCTTTACTCAGGTGATTGGTGCCATAGAAATGGTTGCAGTGACAATGTACAAATCTTGGGAGGGAGGTTGGAGAGGCCTCCCTTTGTTCCTGTATTTCTGCTTAGATGGGGCTAGTAGATGAAGTAAGAAAGGATATGGTTTGATAGTACAGCTAAGCACATAAAATCACTCATTACTGAAAGGAATGTGCTAGCGCTGTGCTAGCACTAGCATTCATCTAATGAATGCTGAGCCGGTGACCTGGTTCGAGGAGCTAGACCAGCAGAAAATTGTCTTTTTTGTTGTTTTTAGTAGAATTAATTTTCTGTGAGCTTAGCTACCTAAACCAACGCTCCTCAGGATCAGAGGAATGCCAGGAATGTGTAGCACAGCGTGGGGGGGGGGGGGGTGGGGGGGGGGGGGGGGGGCCCACAGGACAACATGACACTAGACTGACTGTTTTGGCAGCAATCGGCTATTGGGTCAGTTTAGCTTTATTGTCAAACTGTGTCCAACTGCCATCCTAACTGCTGCTGGCAGTAGCAGTAGTAGTGATGCTGAATGTGACAGTAGTGATCTTCCTGCAGGTAACAGAAAGGGGGTAAGGGGAGAAGCGGTGGTAACGACCTTGAAGCCCTGTCCCCACACCAGCAAGCACAGGGAACAAACCTCTCCCGGGAGTCCCTTTTGAGAGGCCAGGATACTGGGGAAAGGGCCTTTTATTAGACTTTGGTATGAAGGCACATTCTCATAACTGCTTTAAGATCCTTGTGTGAGCCACTCATAAGGTATATATTATCAGTTTCCCTTTCTGGTGCCTTGCAGAAAGAAGGTGAACTGTGATTAACCCCAGGTAGCGTGAGTCCCCAGGTCAGTGAGTTATGGGATTCAAACTTAAGGTTCCTGAAAATTTTCCAGTGGAGGTGCAGACCCTTAGAGATTTCACATATATAGTTATACTGCAAGCTCTTTATTTGAAAATAATAAATATTTACTGTATGTATGTCTTGTCCCATTGTCTATTTTTATGGCTTTCCTTCTATGCAACCACTTCTTCACAGCCTGAATTCTCTCAGCTTGTGCGCATGCACACACACGCACACCCTCCATGTCATTCTGTGCACACAGACTGGAGACCCTAGCTTGGCCACTCAGAAAATGAGCAAAACGACAAAAGAAGAAGTACAACTGAGTAACCTGAAAGATGGATAGGAGTAGTTTGCAAACGCTATGGCTCTAGGCTCTGAACCACAGCCAGAGGAGCTGGCGCCTGCTTTGGGTTCCAGTTTGAGCTTAACTTTGGCTCTGAGAAGCATCAGGTTTTCTGGAGCACCTGGTCTAGGTGAAGACAGTTGAGGTGGCTGGCAAGGCTTCATCTTGACAGGTCAACTAATGTGCAGTACAGGAAGGGTGGCATAGTTCTAGCCAAAGCCTCAGTCCATTAAGCACTCAAATGTAAAGAATGAGTATGAACAGTGACAACAGGATTGAAAAAACTCAGGGTAGGAAAATTCCACATCCACCTGTTGTCCAGGTATGTGAAGATAGAATAAGGATCTCCTTTTGACAGAGAATGGAGACAATCAGGGATTGCGATTCTGGAGTACAGAGGCAGGAGGGAGCTGGAAATGAAAGGCTTTGGGTAAAAGCACATAGGAAGTTGTTCAGTGTTCAGATCCACCAAAAAGGAGTGGATTGGCAGAACAGCCCTTTAAAATGACTGACAGATCCAAGTTATGGCCAGCACTTTTTTTTAAGAATTTTGATCCAGTTTTAACCCATGTAAGCCAGCATAGGAACTGATCTTATTCTTGCAGCTGTTTCAATCCAGTTTCAAGTGACTTACTAATTTCATTGTTTGTTTGGACCACAGCCACGTTTATTTGCAGGCAATATAATTGCAGAATGTGTAAGGCAAGAAGAGTTGTAAAGCAAGCAGAGTGGAATATTATCAACTGTGAGACTTGGCCA